CCGGCACAACCTAGGACTATAGGTACACCTACCCTAAATTGAGCGAAAATGCTTCGCGAATAAGAGCTCACTATCACCAACAAATATTTCCCTACCTTTATGAGGGTTTTGTAGACCATGATTTAGACTTGTAGAATGCTTTCAAACCTTGATAAAACTTCTTACTCTGCTAGGGAAGCAATCTTTAAAAAAATAATAGTTCCAGCCAGTTCGAATGAGTTATTTAAATTCAACAGAACCATAATTAAAGCAGCATAAATCACATCAGTTTCAGTCATCTTCCTCACTCATCAACAGAGAAATCTTAGGGACAAGTCTGGATTGAGTTTTAGCAGGAGAGATTTCTCGACGGATCGTGCTGTTAAGTTCATCCTGTGATCAGATAACATAAGCTTCAGTGCACTAAATCCACGTTCAACTGAAACCTGTGTAGCTGAACTTGACAGAACGATCATCGCAACACTGTAAAGCTCGGGATTGATGATTTTTTGAGCTTCCCAGTATTTAACCAGATCAAAATGAGCTCTTAGATGATCCTGGACCTGACGTTTCAATTATAGGTACCTTCTCCCTAATTTCGAGCTGCTAAATTTCTGTGCGATGGAACATTAGCTGGTCATCGATGAGTTGCCTTGTGTATCTTCATTAAAAAATCCTACCAAGGTTATCTCCAGATCATCTTCGTTTATATCGTTGTTTGAAACATCGCTGGAATCGTCGGCTTTTTGGGAGAACTGAACCACCCACTGTGCTCTTGCAAGAATTCTCGTTTTGTTTGCCTTTTTAACATAGTGGTAACGTTGTTTGAGTTAACGTTATGCATCAGAACATCCCGGGGGCGCCGACTGGGATTGGACCCAGGCCTACTGGGGTGAGAGGTAATCACGCTTACCACTACAGCACCGGCGCCGCTGTTCATGCTTACTTGGATCTGTTCTTTATCATTCGAAGAAATTCTCTTGGATCCCAGGAAATTGAAGCGGGGATCACGGAAGATAAAGGGTGTCCACGATGAAATTGCCACACACAAAATTGATTCGCAAAATTCGAGTTTTCATCCGATTGCCATCAAATTTTCAGGGATTGAGAAATAACTATTAAACTTCATTTTACCATTTTACTCGTATTTTATTTACAGTCCATACGCAAATGCCCGCACCTTGGCCTTAACCCCGGCCATAAGATTCTGCACAACCTGTGAATCAACTGTTTTTTGCATATAAACCCATACTTTCTTCAGTTCCTCGACTGTCTTCACTACCTTAGGTCGTTTAAGAAGGTGCTGCTTCATAATCGCCCAGCACTTCTCGATGGAGCGGAGCTCCGGAGTGTTGGGAGGGTTGAACATTTTCGGCACGAAATTGACCTTATTGTCCGCATACCACTTCAGCACGTCCTTGGAGTAGTGGCATGAGGCCAAATCCGGCCAGAAGATTGTTGGGACGTTGTGGGCCTTCAGGAGAGGAAGCAGCCGCTTCTGGAGGCACTCTTTTATGTACACCTGTCCGTTCATCGTGTCCTGGGTCACGAAAGGTGCACTCCGCTTCCCGCACGTGCAGATGGCTTGCCAAACCAGGAATTTCTTCGCAAATTTGGACATCTTCTGAGTGCGGACATGCTCCGGAACGCTGAACTTATCCTTGGCCGTGAAAAACAGGTTGCCGGGGATCTGTTTGAAGTCGGCCTTCACATATGTTTCGTCGTCCATGATGCAGCATTCAACTTTCGTCAGCATGTTGAGGTACAACTTCCTGGCACGGGTTTTGGCGGACTTGTTCTGCTTCTCGTCGCGATTAGGGGCCTTTTATACCTTGAACGTTCGAAGCCCAGCCTTAGTTTTGGCCTTCTGGACAAAACTTCGGCTTAGGTGCAGCTTCTTAGCCACATCCCTAACGGAGGCGTTCGGATTTCGGTTGAAGGCCCCAACTACGCGGTTGTGATTTTTGGTGTTATACGGAATACTTTTTCCTTCACTTCTGGGCTTCCGATCGGTGGTCAACCGTTCCTCGAACCGCTTAATCACTCGCGACACCGTGGAATTCGCGATTCCCAACTTTTTAGCGATGGAACGATGCGAGAGATCCTTGTTCTCGTGATGAATGCGCAAGATTTTATCACGCACGAGCTGTTCTTTCGACTCCATTTCCGCGAGTTTTGATCACAGGACTTTAAAACTTGCAGGATGTAAATAATGCACTATGAACTAAATCCACCCAAATTTTCATTAAATTCTACCCAACGGTTAAAAAGTTAGAGCAATTTCATAGTGTGGCAATTTCATCGTGGACACCCTTTACGTGTTTTTTTTATCAAAGGCAAATGTCTTTCTTCTTCTTCTTCGCATTTCCAGCTTATTGCATATCGCATATTAGCTTATAGCGTGCTCTCAACTTAGTGTTCTAGATGCACTTCCACAGTTATTAATTGGGAGCTTTCGATGCCCGATTCGTCCAGTCATACTTCTTTCAATTTTCCAACCCGAAAAATTCCTAGACCTGACCGGTAATTGAACCCAGCCACCTCCAGCATGGTCTTGCTTTGTAGCTGTGCCTTTACTGACTGAGCTAAGGGAGGCCCCCAATAAAAGCAATTTATAAAATAACGAACATTTTAGATGGCTCGAGTGACACTTGCCTTTGATAAAAAAAAACATGTCTACTTGAGCTTGAGCTTGATTGACCACCCACGGTTGCTACTCTGTTACTGCCAGATCAGCTGTAATTACACAGAGAACCAATAGACGATGCTTGGGACTAGCAATCATCCTCAATGTGTAAAAACTGGTGATCTTAAATTAGGCAATACCAGCGCCGGCCGCGCCCGAACACAGGTCAAGAAAGGAATGGGAAGGATTGTGTTGACATGACACTCGCTTTGATGGAAGCCGAGAACACCTCTGCACTTCCACGAGGAATCACTGGGATGTTGGATAAGAGGGGTGGGTTTGCAGCAGGGTTCGTTTTGGTAAACGATAAGCTGAATTGATGTCCTAACGATCATATAACGCAAAGGAGCTTGGGACTAAACCCACGGTCTTCTGCTCAGTAAGCAAAAACGTTTGCCACTAGGCAGACGAGCACCTTTTTAATCACCGAGTTGCTGTTATTACCATGTAGTCATATTAACAAATAAAACGATTGACGAATCTTGAATGTGGATGGGCCTGAGATTAGACTCATGATGTTCTGCTCAGTAAGCAAAAACGGTTGCTCTAAGGCCACCGAGCCCCTCATATCACATAATACCGTTGCTCAAATTTGTGTATCCATTCAAACCCGGAACCAACGACAACAACGAGTTTCGCAAAATACACGATACACAAGCGATTTTACCATAAATCTCTTTGATATGTAAGGACCTGGGACCGCGTTTTTCTGCTCAGTAAGCAGGCCACTGTAACCGACGATCTTTCAAATCCGAAAACTAAAAACTACGAAAAAGTACTTAGGCCTTCATTAAGTTCCACTTTCACGCTACGTTCAATGACAGGGTCCTATCCAGGATTACATCTGAAAAATCCAAATCTGGCCAACGCCCACCCTAAACCTAAACCTGTTCTAATCCACCTGAAATGACTAACGAATGGAAGACTTTGACTACCCAGCCATGCAATAGTCTCATTCCGTGCCTTATGGCAACTTGATGATTCTATTGCGCTCATCTTTTGGCACCACCCAGGGGAGACTTGGTCCTGTACCCAATGCTTAACTTATCTCCATTCCACTCAGCTACTCGCAATTTCTTGTGATATAGTGGGCGGAATATTATTATATGAGACAATTCAATGCAGACGTCTTTCCAAATTTGGCAGATCGACAGGTAATCGGTGAGTTACCACGATAGTTGCTATTCAACAACTCGACAACGTCCCATCGTCAACGCCTGCTATGAGAATTTCCCATTGCAGACGCCAACGAAATGACGTCATCGAGCTATCGATCAACTACCCTGATTATCGCTTGGTACCTTATAGCACGATGCTAGGAGGCGAACCGGAAGAATCGATGAGCTACCTCTCCCCCTTGATAAAAAAAACATGTCTACTAAGGATTAATATTTCTAAAAAAATCATCTATCAATGAAACAGTCATCGGTCGTCATTGAAAAGCAATGCAACTATGTTCTGTCAATCTAATTGAAACTTGTATTACCTCTGTTGTCTTGTGAATTTTAGCTATAACGGCCTTTTTTTTTTGATTTTTATCTCTCAATCTATGGAATCTACACGAAAACTATGTTTGAACGAAATTTCAAGAACAGGAACATTATGTCGTAGACTACACATTTTTATATCATATGGGTGGAAAGTTTGCATTTGCAAAATAAAAGTATTTTAAGATTGCACTCGCATACCCCGTGGAAAATTCTAAATTCATCAACACTTTCATAGTTCTTCTATTCTCCACGGGAGCCAACATTGATTTTCCAATAGGAACAGGGATATTTGCTGCATCAGTTTGACCAAAATCTTTCAACCCGCAGTGTTTACTTTTGCATAGTTTGTTATATTATATCGCATTATTTTCAAACTGCAACTCCATCGCATCCCAATAGCTGCTAGCCCTTACTGGGCCCTGCGGTAGCGGCAGCATCAGTTCGAGCTCAAAGCTCCTCTGGCAGACCAAACATCCTCACTCTCTCGCTCTTCACCACCTATCGGTTGGAGACCAGTCGCGGCAAAGCAATAACAGTAGTGCACCACCGACAAGAACTGCAGTAGTCGTACGTAGTTGTAGTAGCTAGTCTGTAGTACTACTACTACTAACAATGCAAGCAAGCACTTATATATATGTAAAAAGTGCATACATAACCAAGACGCAGACTCCCCACACTGGTGGTCGTACGTTTGTACGTGGGGTGCGCACCCCCATCCACCCCCCCACTCCGTGCATGATGAAGAAGCGCTTCCCTTGGGGGGATTTTTGCGGAGCTTCTTCTCTGACAGTATGTTTTGATGCAACGACGACGACGACGACGACGGCGAGGTCTCTCTCGCTCTCGCCACTGACTGCTCTTGCTCATATCGTTTTTATTGTTTTCGTCCGCCGCGCGGTATACATACAACGACGCCGACGACGACGAACGGGGCAAATTTGCAATTCTGGTCTACCTTGCTCAAAGTCAACTCCCGTCAGCCAGCCAGCAGCGGAACAGTCAGTCCATTTCCAGCCGGTTCGCTAAACGGTTGCACTTCGGTCGGTGTTCCATCTCCGGATCTAGTCTTTTGGGAGTTTTGGGCTTTGTGGGGACGATCTCGCGTATGGTATTAAGGCCTCGGCGCAACAGAGAGAGAGAGAGAGCGAGAGTGAGAGCGAGTGTGATGCATTTGTGATTGTGGTGCGCATTGTGATGCATGAAGATTGAAGAGGAGAAGAAAGGATTCCTACTGTTAACTGCTACTGCTTGGATGTACGAGAGGTGGATAAGTTTCGCGAATCGCGTGAGCCAGAAGATTTGAAGGAGGTGGTGTTCAACACAATCGAAACGAGATGAATGAAGATAACATGGAAAATTGAAATTTTTGCTGACTAGTTTCACTATCACTGAAAAAGTGCGCGCGGTACATTGGTGAACAAGAAGAAGTAGGAGTAAGAAGAAGAAGAAAAAACATCGCACAGAAGCGAGGGAAAATAGTGCAGTTTTTATTGGATTGCTCGCTCGTTTGGTGTGTTATCGTTTGTTGGTGCCATTTAGGTTCGTGATGTGTGCGAAATTTTCGCTTTCATCTGCATCAGGCGTGGTTGAGCAATAATTTGTGGTGTGACACTTTTTTTTTCTTTCTTGACTGTGGTTTGTTACTGCAAGATTGTGTGAAGATTCTGCTGTGCTGTTGCGGACTTGAGTTCAACCTAGAACCTAGGACTAAATGTAATGAGGGTGGTAAACAGTTTGTTGATTGTTTATTTTCAGTGGTCTGGAGAGGACGAAATATTTACAGTTTTTGGCTTGCTCCTTTTTAGCCTTACTTAGTTTATTGAACATATCACAACACATCTTGTATTTAGTTTGTTGGTTTTTTAGGTTAAAAGCATTTGGAGTACAGATGTTAATATAATTCGCTGGTATCGGATATGAGTTTCGTCTTTTTCGAAACTTTCAGACATCGGCTGGTTCATCTCTGGTGTTTCGCTTTTTTAAGTTGGGTTTACCATTCAGTACGTAGATTGGTGGGAAGATTCTACCTAAATAAAATATCATGGAATTTAACATCATTTAACATTTGCGTTTTAGAGGACGGATTTTTTTTAATAGTTTGAATGTTGAAACAGGGTTAGTGTCGCCCTAAGTGTCCCTCATATTGGACCCATGCATACATTTCTAAGGAATGAATTTTTGACAATTTGTCACTAGCAATAAAATATATCCATTTGTATTGTCCAGATGACGCATTGGTCTAAGACAAATTTAAAAACAGGAGATTTTTTATCGATAGGCACAATCTTTAAATCCATAGGCCAACATTAAAGCCATTTACCCTATGTTGACTTCTTATCAATAATCTTAATTTAAGTTGGTTTACATCAAAGCAAAATTTACAACTACTGTTGAATATTATGCCGGTCGCTCACAAATAACTATACTGTTGATAGGGTTAACTACTCCATTTCCGGCCTATTAAGCACAACCCGCACTTAGTCTTTCTTAATCTAGCGCAGTTTAGCACCAAACGGAATGTTATTATTACTGATGGCTTCCAAATTTATTTACCTTTCCGTATGTACTGTAAGATTTGATAAAGAGAAACTAATCGTTGAAATATTGTCAAAAGTCTAACACTGCTTCTTGACGCCAAACTCGGCCTACGGCCCTACGGATTCTAAACTCGGCCTAACGCATTGAAACGCCATTGAATTCACTTCGGCCTATCGGATGAAGATAAAAATTGATTCGGTCGGAGCGCTTCTTTTGTTTTTGGGAATAATGGGTGCAAAACCTTCATATCACGCGTTCTCATTGACTTCGTTCCGTAGCTTATTAACTAAAGTATCGTACCAAATGCGTAATTGACTTGTTAACTCTGAAATCATGGATTTATTTGAAGTTTTCTGCTCGATAGGCCCAAAATGGGCGATTAGGCCGAAGTAGTTCTCTACCCTACTAAGCACTAACTACCTAATTTTACTCACATCTTAATATCGTCTTTCCAATATTTACAAAAAAGAATAGTTCAGGCGCCAAAAATGTATCCCTTCTAAATACAGTTTTGGGAGCATTGTGCATTGTTGTCACACGGCAGATTAAACTGTTGTTGCACGGTTCCAATTGGGGGTTTATAAAAATTATACAGTTTTTTTCAGGGGCGTAGCGTGACCCGGGGCGGATGCTTTGGGTGCCCGCCCCCTAACTTTCAAAAAGGCTACTTATCATTTATACGATGGTATTTAAACACTCTTTTTCAGTTATCAATATTTAAGAAACTGTGCTGAAGGTAAATGAAAGTTACCCCTCCTAATGTAGTAAATGTTAAACATTGCACACCTGCGGTTCCCTTGGGGCCTCCCTTAGCTCAGTCGGAAAAGGCGTAGCTACAAAGCAAAACCATGCTGATGGTGGCTGGGTTCGATTCCCGATCCGGTCTAAGAATTTTTTCGGGTTGGAAAATATCTCGACTCCCCTGGGCACTTGCCACACAATTATACTAATGCAAAAATGGTACATACATCGAAAGCTCTTAATTAACTGACATAATCCCAAGCCATCGAAACTTCCTCAAAGTACCAAGGCTGCAAAATGCGTGTCGATTCATGATGTAATGATCAATCGTTATGATTCAGTCATCATTCGAAAGGTATGGCTATCTACTTTCAAATCTATCAGATAGAAACCCATTTGGAACCACAGGTAGGAAAAGTCCCGACATCTTAAGATTGAGCCACTACTTGAAAGGTATGACTACCTACTTTCAAACGGAACAGTCAAGGAACCGATTGGAGTTGTGGGTGGCCCATCGGAACGATAAAATCCGTGAAAAGTGGCTCTGTGGAAATTCGGATTCACCGGGAGAATGGTCAATTCCCGAAAGTAGACCTAGAGATCCGCGATTTTTACCTAAATTGCTCACAATCATTAGCATAGAGGAAATATGACATCAACATATCGATTCTGCTACCGGGTGGTCAGAATACGGTCCTCTGGATACCCGGAATCACCGGAAAAATAGTCAATTCTTAAAAGTAGACCTGGAGATCCGTGCTTTTTTAGAAAATGTGAAGAACTCTAAGTTAAGAAGATATATCTCAGTGCCATATTCATTTGGTCCCGCGGTGGTTATTAAACACCCTTCTGGATATCCGGAATCACCGGGAAAATGGTCAATTCTTAAAAGTAGTCCTAGAGCTGCGCGATTTTTTCTAAATTGCATACAATCATGAGCATAGAGGAAATATACCATCACCATATCGATTATGCTACCAAGTGACCAGAAAACGGTCCTATGGATATACGGAATCACCGGGAAAATAGTCAATTCTTAAAAGTAGACCTGGAGATCCGTGGATTTTTAAAAAATGTGAAGAACCCCAATTTCAGAAGATATATCTCAGTGCCATATTGATTTGGTCCCGCGGTGGTTATTAAACGCCCTTCTGGATATCCGGAATCACCGGGAAAATGGTCAATTCTTAAAAGTAGTCCTAGAGCTGCGCGATTTTTTTCTAATTTGCATACAATTATGAACATAGAGGAAATATACCATCACCATATCGATTCTGCAACCAAGTGGCCAAAAAACGGTCCTCTGGATATCCGGAATCACCGAGAAAACAGTTAATGCTTAGTTGAAGATGCTAATGTCAAATAACAGACTAAAGTGGTAATTTTTATACGATAGATGAGGAGATGAAAGCAGGGTGGCCAGCGAACAACCGGGAATACCGGGAAATATCCGGGAATTTTAAAAGTAACCGGGAAAACCGGGAAAAACCCGGGAATTCGAAGAGTGAACCGGGAAAAATAAATTAACCATGCCATAGGAACACATTTTTACACCAGGATTTCTGAATAAACTATTAAAATAGAGTGATTCTTCACCAAATGAATGTCTTACTTTATTTACTGCATAATTTTCTTATCTTTCCCGTCTTATTGTTTTTAGAATTTAATCACTCATCAATTTTTCAAATTACTTTTTGTCGTGAAACACATGTAAAGTGCATGGGCATTAAAAGAAAATATTGAAGATGCTGGACTTTCGAAACAAATATTTGTAAAACCGAAACTGAACTATTCTTTCCGGGGTTTTAATTTTTCGTTCTTCAAAATGCTCATGATAAGAATTTCAGAATTAACTTGAAATTCTGCTGTGAATTATCATGGAATTCTTCTGAAATTAACCAGAAAACACTTCGCGTAATAATTACCGTTGAATTCTTTTTGGAATTTCCTTGAAACTATTTCTAAGAATTTGATTGGAATCCTTCTTAGAATTGCCTTAAACCTATTCGGAAACTTGGATTCCTTTGAATTTCTTTTCAAAACTTTCTATTCAAAGCAGCAGAAATCCTTTGAAATCTTATTTAGAAACCCCTCGGAATATTTTAAAGAATTTCTTTCTAATTATCTGCAATTTTTTGGCAATCAATTCTGTTGGAGCTCTGAGATGAATTTTTCGCACTAGTGTTGAAATTATCCCTGGAACACTATTAGAACTCTGTTTCTTGTCGAATTATCATCATAATTCTCTTGGATTTTTTTTTTCAAATTCATCTGTCATTTTCCTCACGATTCCCATTCACATCTCCTCAGAATCACGTAAGAATTTCCCTTAAAGTTTTTATTTTCAAAACTCCTTTTGAAATTTCCTAACATTACCTAAGAGTTTAATTCAGAACTTGCATTCTTCTGCACAGAAATCCCTCCAAATTCATCTAACAATTTCTATAGACTTCATGTCGGAATAATTCTGGAATTCTGCTCAGAACTTCTCCCTTCGAAAATGATGTGGGAATCCTCCTCAATATTTGTTTGAAATCAACACTTTGAATACTTTTAATTTTTACCAGGGTTTGTCCGCAAGATTCTATAGATTGTTCTGTAATTTGTTGTAACCCTTAAAATGCTTCCAAGTCTCAGAACCTTGACAATTACGACCCACGACCCATAAGTATGTTTTTTTTTTCAAATCTGTTATCTTGGATTTCTTTTTTCAAAATCTCACATTTGAATTATTTTTTTCTTCAAATCTTGCATCACGAAAATTGTTATTCCCCCCTCCCCTAGGGGGTTAGATTTTGATAAATTCTATAGTGGGAATGACACTGATGAAAACTGCACATTGTAGTCGAAATACGTATCTGTCATGGATACCAAAATTAATTGAGTGGAATTAAATGGAAGATAACCCTTTTTGCTGTTTTCGAAAATTTACAGCTAGCCGCGGTTTTAAAAATGCGTATTATTTCATTTTTTGTTGAATATTAACAACCGGGAAATTTTAAAGATTTGAACCGGGAAACCGGGAAAATACCGGGAATTTAAAAAATGAAAATTCAGTGGCCACCCTGTGAAAGTATAGATTTGATAATTTCGTTAGAGTACGGCAGTGTGAAAATTGTATTTAGAGAGTAGAAAGCGAGCAAGGGCAACTTTTTATTTTTTTTTTTTTTTTCCTTTGGTTTGTTTTTTCCGTCGATCTTGTTTTCCGTGCTGAGCACCAATGCTACCGACGTGCCAGGAAGGCAGCTCCCACACCTGGACCCTACCTATCGACCCATCAACTCATGAACCGGGGACCAACGGCTTTACTTCCCATCCGAAGGA